TCATATGCCCATATCTTGTATATAGCGAAAGTTCATCCCCTGCCATTAAGGTAATTGGTGTAAACGTAATTTTTAGCCAGTGTAAGCTCACATTAAGTAGCCTAGGTAGGCAGATGGACATATTTTGGGGAAGGAGCATTCTATAATTTCTTTATTTCTATACTTTTCTCAATTCTTAGTCAGATAAAACACACTGGGTTAAAGCAGCCTTTGTCTGATAACTGTGGGTATTTGTCCTCTTGCGTTCTTGTGCGTCAATCTCGTTACTGGGCACTAATAAATACTGTATAGTACATACTTTTATGTTAAACCATTTCAGAGAGCAACGTAGTATTTTACTGCCTACGGCCCAGTTTGTCAAGCAAGTGAGCAGGATTCCTGAAAGGCAGCAGCTCTCTTTGTAGGAATGAAAGGAGCTGGAGGAGGACTGCATGCTTTGATTTCTCTATCCTCCAGAAGTCTTCCATTGCAATCGAAGCCCACTTTAGCTTCCTCAGCGAGTGCGTGTTAACATAGCCGATATATTACAAGCAATAATTATAGCCCAGGAGATATTTGTAAACCTTAAAAAAGTGTTTGTGGGGAGTGGGGGAGAATGGTCATGGCTGAGAGCATTTGAGGCATAGCATTTTGTTGTCCAGAATACATGAAAGGGTGTCTTCCGCGTGTTGAGGATCATGTGTGAGGGCAAACACAAGGGTTTTCCGTTGTGTATTAAGGGATCAAGTGATCACCTACAAGGAAAAAATTGTAACCACTTGTCATGCAAATAGATTGGAGTATGCTGCTTTGATATCTGCTCTACCTAGTCATGCAAAATACTGTGTGAAAACCACCAGCCTTACTGTTTAATTTTTGTTAATATTCATGCTCTCGTGAGATCTCACCTGAAGTACTGTGTTCAGCTCTGGGGCCCCCAGCATAACAAGGACATGGACCTGTTGGAGCGAGTCCAGAGGAGGCCACAAAGATGATCAGAGGGCTGGAACACCTCCCCTTTGAAGACAGGCTGAGAGAGTTGGGGTTGTTCAGCCTGGAGAAGAGAAGGCTCCAGGGAGACCTTATAGCAGCCTTCCAGTACCTGAAGGGGGCCTACAAGAAAGCTGGAGAGGGACTTTTTACAAGGGCATGTAGTGATAGGACAAGGGATAATGGCCTTAAACTGAAAGAGGGTAGATTTAGATTAGATACAAGGAAGAAATTCTTCATTATGAGGGTGGTGAGGCACTGGAACAGGTTGCCCAGAGAAGTTCAAGGCCTGGTTGGATGAGGCTTTGAGCAAACTGGTCTAGTGGAGGGTTTCCGTGCCCATGGCATGGGGAGTTGGAACTAGATGATATTTAAGGTTTCTTCCAACCCAAACCATTCTGTGATTCTATCATTCTATGAACTAGAACAGTTATATAACTCCATGTAAGCCTGAAATTAGGTTACTGAAGTTTGTCCTAGATGCTAAATTTGTCTTCTGGACTGTTGTCCTGGCACACAGCAGTTCTGCTAGAATTTTTCTTTCTTTTTTTTTTTTTCAAGTTAGAACATAATCATGGGTATATGCAGTGGCTTAACGAAGTTCTTCAGTGTAACAGCTCCTCACTCCTCCTGCTTTCTGTGTTGTACCCAATTACTTATCCATGCAAGAAATTTCCCCATTTTGTTCTCTCTGTTTAAGTTTCTCTAAAGATTTAAAACCTTTCAGAAAGCTGGGAAGATGGTATACATGAGAGCATCTCAATGTTTTTGCTTGTTGGTTTCTTCAAAGAAATCTAATGGGTTTGTATTTTTTGTTTTCAAAAGAAATATTGACACTTCTGAAGAAGACTCATCTGGTAATTATATTATCTGTTATAGCTTCTACTAATTTATTCAGTATGGATATAAGGTTAGCAACCTATTAACTTCCTCCCTGACCATTAAAAAATGGCATCACATTTGCCACCTCCTAGTTCCTGAGGTATGTAAGCAAGAGATTACGTACCACCTTTACCAATTCAGGAACTTAATTCTTGAGTTTCTTTAGGTCCTTTGGATGACATGATATGGTTCTGTTACCTCTTACCGTCCTAAACATACAACTTCGTGTTTGGCCACATGAAAACATAAATTATTTGCTCTCATCTGCTCTACCCCTCTGGCCCAGTTGTGATTTGAATTATCCTTTTACCTACTCACAACCCTCATCTTTTCCTGCAGGTGTGATTAGTTTTGGGTTGCTTTGCTTTGGGTTACTTAAAAAATGCAGAACAATATAGGGCCAAGAATGATCTGTGATGTGCCTCTTAGAAGTGCATTAGGTGGGCAAGAGCATCACCTACTTCTGTTTCAGTAAGGTTTAGTGGTTTGGCAGCTAGTAAATCTTGAATCCATTTAATATACATTGTGTTCTTATAATGCTTGGATACTTTAATTGAAATATTATGCAACATTCAGTCGTTACTTACATAAATCTAAACATATCGTTATCAACACCATTACCTTGTCAACCAAATGTGTAATCTCCTCAGATGATGTTTGTGAGGTTAATTGGACTAGATAGTGTTGGTTGTTATTTGTTACTGCTCTTTGATTTCATACAAAGACTTCCATATCTTGGTTCTGTGTTTTGACTCAGCTTGAGGGAAACTAATTATTTAGAACCTACACATATCAAAATCATCCTTTAACCCTTTCATAGTCATTGTTTTCTTCACTATTTTTGTATTAAGACTTCTTATAAGTCAGCCTGTATAGTCTGGGGATGCCCCAGGAGATCTCTTTTTAAAAAATCCTAACTTTTAGTCGCTTTGGATATGTTTATAAATGGATGGCCTAAGCCTGGGCTGTGTAAGCAGCTGAGTAATGTCTTCTGTAGTGACAAATGGAGTAGGTGTTTCACAGTCCTTTAGAGATGAATCTCTAGCAATTGAACTTCCTCCCCCTATTCTACCACTCTACTGTGCTGACCATATAGAAATTGTATACGTTGTTGCTGAGACACACGTGTCATTGCTGTAAACAGGATTTGTAACCAGCTGTGCCCCTGACCCCAAAACAGCCTGTACACAGATTCTTCCTTATTTATTCTGCATATGATTCTTTCTGTGGCATGTGTATGAAGTTAGTGATAAAAATCTAAATATTGATTTTTTTTTAAATTATTTTTATTATTATTATTACTGAGAGTCAAAGAGTGCCATTAATACTGCATAGTATGCTTTACCTACTGCAACCAGAGAGGATCCAAAACTGTGTTAGGATGTGATCAGTCTTCAAATGCATGGAAGATGGCTTCGAATCCTGTTTTCGGAAATACATTTAGACAAGCCAGGCAGCAGTAATTTTAGGTATGGTTATTTCTGCCTTGTGTAATGGGGTAGAATGACTTTCCAGAGTATTTTTCAAACTTTGTTTTCCATGATTGACTCCTCTGGCTCCTGTAAGGAGTCTAGCAGTAAAAGGTTGTTTAGTAGCAGCTCCAGGTGTACCATCAGTGGAAACTCTTGACTCTAATTTCTTCACATCTCTTTTGGAAGAGATGCCTCGGTGGTACCAGGGCTCCCGGTTTTATCAAGATGTTGGTGTCACAGTGCCATTGGTTAGAACAGCTCTGGAAACTTTCTTAGCAACTCAATTACGCCAGGTGTTGAAAAATGAGAAGTCATGTTCTCTGTGAATAAAGACTAGGGGTTATGCCCATGGCAGAAGAGTCTGCGCATTGCTTGGGTACATAAGATAGGGAGTGAAGGGTCTAGCTTGTGAAGAGCTGGAGAAGGATGGGATGCTACTGGAAGATACAGATGTTGGAGTTTGAATAGTGAATATCAGCATGGCTAGCACAAGCTGAAGTAGAACTGCTCTAATAATATTCTTGTTGGACAATGAGGAGGGCTCAGGAGGTTATGATTATGAGGACCTTATTTTTTTCCTACTTATATATGGTAAGACTTTTGGAGAATGTTACTTGTATAGGAAGCAGGTAACCTCTTATTGTAAAAGTCAGTTTTATCACCCACTATTCTATAAAGGTACTTTGTTTCATTTCAGGGATTAATCAGTCTAGAGATTCATCTGACTGAACTGCCAAAAAATAATTGTACCTTCTGTTTAGATCTTACATCCTCATTTTTATTTTTTATTAGTGAAACAAGTTTGAATTTTGAAGGAGTGTTTCAAACTATTGGCTTTCAGAGCCTCATTTGGCCCTTACTGTTCCTTTTGGAGACTGCATGCCTCAATTTTGAAATCTTAATTTAAAAGAGAGTGAAAGGGACAATAAATAAATAGCTTTTCAATCCAGGCAGTCCTTATATGGATACCTAACTGGGAGTGATGTCAAAGTCTATTCTGCTTTTTTCAAGTGTATTTTTAAGAGAGTTAGTTGTCTAGGTCAGTGCCTTTTTGAACAGAAGATTAATAAGCATCCGTGAAAAAAAAATAATGTCAGAGTATCTAAGTGAGAAGTTCTTAATGTGTCATCAATGGCAATAGCCAAATTACAAATGATAGTACAAAGAGAACAGAGAACTCCAGGTTTACTTGTGCTTGAAAAAGGGTTTTTTCTGCTCACAGCACCTTTCTCAATTTGCTAGTCCTCCCAGAACTACAGCCTGTAAGCATTAGCCTGTCTGAGGACATAATACCTTGCACATTTTATTAGCGAAGTGAAGTTGCTTGCTGTTAATGTTCTGAGATTTGCATCTTAACTGCACGACACAGACACTCAGTGTGGAATACTGTGCATTGGTGCCCTGTTAAATGCTATCTTTATTTATGCATGGTATCTTTTGGTCTTTCTTAAACATTCAGGTTTGACTACCCAAGCATGGATTTGCAGTTAAGCTGCCAGCAAACTTTTTGTTTGAAAGTTCTGACCTTAAATGCAAAGCAGTTTCCTTTTGGTTTTTTTTTCCCTTTCTAATAACCTTTAGGAGTATGAAAACCTTTGTCACTTGTTTTAAATATCCTTATGACAAGTCCTTGTAAGCCTGTATGTATAGTAAATATTACACTGTCTTTGTCACCAGGGAGATTGCAGCTATGGTCTGGAGCTTCAGCCTCACTTATGTATTGAAGATGTTAATGTTCAAAGGAATAAAAGTCATTTTTCCATGACCAACTCCATCTTTGATCAGAAAGCACGCTCATCTAGAAAAGACATGGTACACAGATCAAAAGTAAAAACATTTTTACCTGATACAAATGATAATGGGAGTGAATTCTTTTCCACGTTTAAAATGGCAAAAACAAAGACTCCCAAAAGAACTGGATTAAATTGGGAAGTGCCTGTGTTACCTACAGATATTAATACTTCAGCTTCTTACTCAGCAAGAAAGCTTGCTCTGGTTGAAAATACTGACCAGGGCAGTCAAAAGGATAAGGAACTAGAGGTGACATTTGACTTAAATGAATTTATTGACCTATGTGACAACAGTGAAAGTACTGCAATTTATGAAAGTGCTGCAATAAAGGAATACAAAACTATAGATAAAGCTTGTGCGTCACTGGGGACGAACTACACAGATTCGGGTTATAGTAGCTTCACAGTTGAGAAATCACCTGTGTCCTCTGACTTATTTTATCTTCCTGAATCATATGTGGATTCATTTGCACTTGTGAGACCATCTGAGGAGCCTTCTTGGTTAAAACAAATATTTTCCCATGTGAAAAGGCTTTTATCACAATCTCCTCCCTCTTTGAATAAACTTTATGATTTTGACAACATGATGAGAAATGAAGAAACAATACGTCCTTTTCAAAAAGTTATTTCTGATAGTTATCCAGAGAGACCGCGGGACAAAGTCTTTCCTGCGTCCTCAGAAGCTGATCATTCACTGCTGTTCTTTGAATATCCTGAACTGAAAGTCACGAGTGAATTGTGTGCTTCTGTAAGTACCTGTTTTTCAAAAACTGTATCATCTTCTGTGACTGCTGTTGTTAAAGCCAAAGAGGAACTTCACTGGAATGACAGCTTTGATAGTCTGTTTGATAATGAAGAATTCACTGAAATTCAAAAGAAAACTCCAACAATAAATCACACTGTGATAAATAATCCTTCAAATAAGTATTTTGTTCAAAAAGATAAAGAAGATCTTGAAATTAACAAGAAAAATGTGATTATTGATGAAGAGAAGAGTATCCATTTATTTGAAGATGAACACATTTGTGACACAAATAATGGAAGCTTTTCAAATAATGGAAGCTTTTCTATGAACAATAAGTGTTTAGTCAAGTCAGATTCAGGTGCGAATGTTGCTAGGCCAGTTGGAGAGCGAAGATCCGAGTGGTTTCCATCAGAGGTGTGCTGCGTGAACGCCGACAAAACCTGCAAGGAGCAGGCAATAAGCAGTAAAACCACAACCATGGAAATGTCAGGTGATATTAGTGTGACTGAGCAGTTTCTGCATAACGATGATCTTTATGACTGTTCTCAAGAACTGTTTTCTGTTAACTTTGATCTGGGATTTTCCATTGAAGAATGTGAGAATGAAATCTCTGAAGAAGCTATAAATACTAATAATATCAGAAAATTAAATGGTGCTTCAGGGAGTCATGCAGATGTTAAATCCACTGAAGATAAAAAAAAATTACTGAATAGCTCCAGACTTGAAACATCTCCAAAACGGGATTGCAAAAGTCTTGAGAGAAGAGGCATTTCCACACCATTCCCATTCCAGAGTAGGAGCACGAATGACAGAGAAGGGACTGAGGATGCTACCACTGCAGTGCCTTTCTTGAAGTCAGGAGACAGAAGAACGGGAAGTGGATCACCTGAAGCTTTGGCTTCTGCACTTTCTACCCCAACAAGTAGAAAGATTATGAATATTGAAGCTATTAGAAGAATTCCTATGAATGTCTTCTCTAGTGCCAGGGAGGAAATTCCAGAGGTGCCTCTTACAGATAAAGTAAATACAAGCCCACGTAGGCAGAACTTTGGGAGTTCAGCCGCCTGCTGAAGGTAGGGATTTCAGTGGTACAGTTAGTTAATACCTTCATGTTTAAATAAATAATGTAGAATCCACTATCTTTTGGATCCTCAGTTTGGTTTTATGACTTAGGTGGGAAGGATGAAAGGAAAAGGGAATAATGGTTATAATACTAGAAGTTGGCTCAGTGAGGAGACTTTCCAGAACCTTCAGCCTGCATACGAGCTCGAAGGTAGGGATTTCAGTGGTACAGTTAGTTAATACCTTCATGTTTAAATAAATAATGTAGAATCCACTATCTTTTGGATCCTCAGTTTGGTTTTATGACTTAGGTGGGAAGGATGAAAGGAAAAGGGAATAATGGTTATAATACTAGAAGTTGGCTCAGTGAGGAGACTTTCCAGAACCTTCAGCCTGCATACGAGCTCAGCCATTTGAGGCGGAAATGCATGCATGCATATTGGAGGAAGTACTTGCAATTAAACCTCTCGTACCTCTTCACAAGTGCTAACGGTGCAACCATGTGAGACATAATTGTGTGAGCTATAGCTGCCTTTAAAGCTCTTCCTTAATCCTCTCAGTATCTGATTCATAATCATCTGCATCTGTTACACTTCAATCCCTGAATCCATGCCTTCATATTTTCCTATCATTGTTCCCGAGGAATAGAAACTCTCCTGATGGATTTCTTCAGTTTAGTTGCATGAGAACTGACTTGTATTTAAAATTTTCTGATTATAACTTCAGCAGAAACCTGGATTGTCTTAAAAATATCGACTGTTTGTAGGGTCTATTCTATTTTTTATTTCCTCCCTTCTCTCTCCCCTTTTGTCTTTTTGTGTTTTAGGACCATAAAAAAATATTTCATATTCAACTATTGCCAATATATAAATGACCATCATTCTTCACTCGTAGGTCACTTACAGGTCATATTCACAACTTTGTCGTGTTTATCTCTAATAACCTTGAATTACTTTCAAAATAATTCAGGCTTAATAGTACTCGGTCTGATTCATAGGGCACATTGAGTTTTTCTGAATGGTTTTGTTAGTATCCTTAAGCATTGAAACAAAGCATAAACAGTCCCTTTGGTGGTTAAAGCATCTTTTTTTCCTTCTCTTTGAATTTGTCTGATAGTCATCGTATTTTCTGAAGGTGATTGGTTGTTGAATGCCACCTTTCTTCCTGAATCACACCTTCAAACTGATATGTTAGTTTGCTGAATTCAAAAATTGTAATCCATTAAAAAAAAAAAAAACCAAAACCGAAAAAAAAAAAAACCACCCCACAAACCAAAAACCCCAACCACCCCAAAAACAAAACCACAGAAGGAAACAAATTGCTTCTAATTGTTTTAGAATTGCAGGGTTAATACTGAACCTGGATCAGATTAAGGGCTTTGTCCGGTCGGGTCTTGAAAACCTCCCTGGACAGTGTGTGTTGTTGAAATGATAGTTATTGGTATTTAAATATGTTATTTTATGAGTGGAATGTTTGGGAATTTTGTGCTTTTCCTTAAATAAATTCAAACTTTTGAGTGATTTAGTCAGAACCAACTCTCCATCCCACCCTATCCTGCCATACTCCCAAAGAAACAGAGTTAATAATTTATGCGGAGGCTGCAGTTAATGTCGAGCCTGCTTTGGGGTAGGAAGGATTTACAATAGACAGCATACCTATTGCACCGAGTCCAGGGTCTCTCTGTCAGAATTGGAGCTTTGTCATGCAGGAAGGAATATCTTGTATTTCATAAAGGCAGTCCTTTGTAAAAACAAAAAAGGCTGCAGTTGTTTGAAAAGGAGTTGGAAAGAGGAGTTTTTAGTGAGTTCTGGTTTTGTTTCAGTGCACCCAAAGGGGTATGTGTTACAAAACGCTTCCAGAAGTGTAACTCTTACTCAACTTTTAAGGGCTGCTTCTCTTGGTTTCATTTTTCACCTCCCTTTTTCTGTATCTGTACTGCCTGGGGTAATCACTTCCACACAGAGACTCTCCAGGGAACTAGGATTTATTGTACATCTCAGCTGGAGATTATTTATTTTGATTAACAAGGCTAAAGAGAACAGTATTTGCCACATAGATCAATAAGTAATCTCCTTTGTAGGTACTTTTATGAGAGAGTCAGATTTTGATTGCTCAGTTATAGCAATATTGTATTGTGAACAATGCATTTTCTTGTGAATGTTGTTTACTATTTTTTCTGTAGGAACCAGCAGTGAGAGTGAAGAGGAGATCGTTTTCCAGAGAAAAAGAAGAACAAAAAAGAATGTTTTGAAGTCTCCTGATGTGAGTCTTAGAAAAAGGGGAAAAAAAAAAAAAAAAAAAGACAAGAGAAGCAAAATGACAAGGAAGTCAAACGCCAAAACAAAAATCCTCTTTGCAATTATACTTATTTCTGTTTACATAGGTTATGAATGATAGTGATTTTGAATCGCCGATTCATGCCATCAGAAAACGTCGACACACACTTAACATGGTTAGTAAGTGCTTTGGTGAGACAGAAGAAAAATAATACAAACTCATTTATGGAGTATATATTTAAACACTTACTCTTTCTCCAGTCAGTAGGCAAGTGTTCTTATTAACAATATTTTATGCCATCTGACCTAAGGCATATTAGAATGTAATTGCTTTCCTTCCTTCAATTTTTTCCCGAGGTCTCCAAAGATGACTTTGTAGTTGTTGTTTGGCAGTGAATTATTGTTATAGGCAGGAGAGCTGAGCCTCTCCCGTTGTGAAAGGCAGTAAAATAATCTTTCTTCCACAAAGGTTTGAACCAAAAAAAAAAAAAAACAAAACAAAAAAAAACCCCTTATGTCACAGTTGACCTGATTTTTCTTCCAAATAACATGTTTTTCTGTTCCTTTTATATTTAGTAAGATGATTAGCGTTATTGCATTATTTTGCCATAGCAAATCAATCACAAAAAATCAGGTGTTGCTTAAAAAAAACAGGTGTTGAAGGATGACTGTGTAATTAAAGTATTGCTTGCTTTAGTATTATTTATTGAAGTGTTTGTGAAATGTTCCTCTAGTCAGACACGTCCACTGATGACAGCATGGATTTTCACAAGAACTCAAGTAGGATCACAAATAGCAGCTCAGCAGCCTGTAACAAAAAACAGCTGAGAAGTAGGAAACGGCAAAAGGTCAAGAGCAATTTTATATACAAGGTATGTGACGTTACATGTCTCTTAATACGTTGAAGGTCATATTTGGAGCAGTTTGCATTGAAGTTGCAACGTAGATAACGGCTGCGCATTGTCATATGTGTGTGCATGTATGTAAGTGCACGTTTGCAACATTGTGAAACCTAGTTCAGAAGAAAGAGACTTAGTGAGATTCTCCTTTCTGTTCAAACTGCAAGAATGAACTGAAAATATTTTCTGATTTGTCTGTATTTAAATTTAAAAAACCCATGAAAATGCCAGAAATGTTGAGCACTGGTTTCACATACTTAAGACGAAAATTTACGATGTCATTGAGTCACTCATTCTGGAGCTTTTGTGTATTTTATGGCCTAAAAAATTGAGTTTCTGTCTATTTTATGGCCTTTGTAGGATCTCATGATACAACTGTCTTACAGTAGGCATGCAGTTGGGCAGCTCTTTGTTTTTAAGACATTGTTTAGGAGGGTTAAGGCTCATAGCTATTTCACAAAAGTTTGTTGCAAACATTTGACGTGACAATTTGAAACACTGGATAATGATCTGAACCCTCACGTCCGTTGCCTGACTTCCAGAGGAATCTGCAGGGCCCTGCGTAATAATGTTCTGAAGCAAAACAACGATTTACATTACAAGTAGAAGATACTCAAAAATTAGTCAGACTCAGGAAGCTCGGGTACTTCTCCAGAACTTACGCTATTACGATACTTGATCATATGAATTTACCACCTACTCTAATGGTTTCAACTTTGAACATCTTAAGACAGCAATGGTCCCTCGACCCCAAAGCTTAAATTTGAACTTAGTATTTTACACTTTAATCTGTCACTGCATCAGGAATGGATGCAGGAGAGGTTGCAGGGCCAGAATCATATATTCATAGTAAGTTGAAAAGCTCTTAAATACGCATGGGAGTGGTTCCAGTAAGCAGAAATTACTGTAATCAGGACTCTGGGGCACATTATGTTGGAAATGTTTAATGTTTTAAAGATAATCTTCATTATGGAGACTTCCCTATAGTATCAAGTACTTTATGTTCTGGAATACAAAGAATTAGGTAGACGAAAAATCTGTTTTTCAATTTTATTTAAACTTTGTTTTTTTAATGTGAGACCAAAATTGTGTTACCTGTATACTTAGGAAATTCTACTCTACCTTCACATATATTCTTACCTAAACATTCATAGTGATGAACATGTCAGAATTCCAGATCCACAGAAGATCCAAGACATCAAAATCATTCTAATCAGTCCACCATCAGTTATGGTGTTCTGTCAGAAGTACAGGTAATGGAGTTGTAAGTGCAGCAGAGATCTGCAATTAGATTAACAGAGATTGTGAGAAGTCCGAGGTGACCAAAATAGCCACTGGCACTGAATTCAAAGATTCAGTAAATAATTTAAGAACCTGGTAACTTATTGTTTCCCACGTGTAACCGGACTCTTGACTGTTAGTTTCTGGTGTCACAGTGCTTTCACACTGCAGGGTTTGTCCTCTCCGTAGTCCTTCACAAGTAAGAAGGATTAAGACTAATTGGCAATAGCATTGAGAGTTCTTTCCTGTAAACAGGTGACCTCCAGTGTGTTTCAGAATAATCAAAATTGTTCTAGAAAAGGAACCATTAATAATGCCTGTCATTCAAGCTTACTAATTGATGTAAGCAAATAATTAAAAGACTTGGGAAAATTTGAAAATCAGAGATGTCACTTATTGTAGCACCAGATACCTTAGTCTTCCATGTACTAAACTAAAATTCACAGCTTTGTGCTTTTTATTCAAAGTATTTTGAAGGCAAGCAAATCATTCTTTTGGAGTAATTGGGACATGTAATGTTTTTTGAGGTTTTTTCACATTTTACTTTGGTACTTTATAGCTGAAATTATAGAGAAAAAGTTAGCTTAATATAATGTATCTCTGACAAAACATCTTTCTGAATTCATTTGTTTTGTTTCCATGTACGTTCTTGTGAATGTTTCATTGTTTGTTTTTGATGGAACTTAGTACCAAGTTTTGTATCATGTCTTCTGGACTGCAGTTCACATGTGAAGTGCCTCATCTTCCCTGAAAGACGAGCATTTTCTCAATAATGAGTTGCATTGTGTGATGAATTCATGAAACAATTAATCCTAAGTTCTAAACAGGAAAGGGCAAACCAGTGTGAAGTCTGTATCTGAAGTTAAGTTTCAGAGTAATCCAGCACTTCACAATCAAACCAGATTTTTGAAAGCAAATAAAATGAGTAAAACTAGTTTTATAACTTACAAAATAACCTAATACTTTTGGGTCACTTAGCTACCATGGGTTAGTAAGCTCTGCCTGTACTATTAACTAGTCTAGGTGCAAACAGTGCTACACACTGTGGTTACCTTTGGCCAGTGCTTTGAAATGGACTCCAGCTTCACCCTTCTGTGCTGGTGGGACAGACATTTCAGCGCTGTCATGTATTTCACTGAACTTTGTGTTCTTTATGTCACTGTTCCCTGTGATGGATACTCTTTTCAAAGCTAGAAGCCTAATATCTGTGATCATCTAAGCAGTTGATGTTCTGAAGTCACGAACTGGTTTAATCAGAGATCTCATATGTAACATTAGTTAATTGGGAGCCACCTTCTAACTAAAATTTTGTTTGGATTTTTTTCATTTTTAGAACGCAGCGAGACAGTTTTTAGATGAAGAAGCAGAGCTGTCCCAGCAAGACGCAGATAGTGTTTCATCTGATGAGAGTGATGATGCAGAGAACGAGCTGAACTCTTCACTTGCTCAATTCCTGAATGATGATGTAGAGGTCACACAAGTGCTAAATGGTGAATGAGGAGAGTTGTTTATGATTTTAAGATAAGGGGTGTTGCTTAGCAAATGGCATGGGCATTCAGTCAGCTAATACGTCAGCATGTGTCAGCTAATAAGCCGTAACCTCCTCAGCTGTGGTGAATCAGGTGCTTTCCATTATCTGTTTGTACCTTTTCTGTTTGTATTGGCATGGGTTGCTTATGTAGTAAGTTCCTCACTGGAGTCTCTATGGTACAATAGTTTTGAGCAGGCTGGTATCTGTTTTTTGAGGATTGCGGGGGCAGGAGATAGCCTCTCGCTAAGAGTCAACCACCCCCTCATACACCATTATGACTGAAGAGAAAAACAATTTTCCATTTCACTTAGAAATTTCTGAATTTTTCAGGTCTTCTGTTACAGAGAGACCTAAAATATGATATGAAATAACGATATGAATGTTAAAGATAAAATTACAGTGTTGACACTGACAGAGCTGACAAGGTAATGCTGTTTTTTGGCCAAGATGATTTACTTACCCCTGTGCTTACGAACCTTGTCTTTCCCTGGGATATTTGCATGATGGAATCATCTTACTACCATTTAAGATTCCCAGATGTTGCTGAGGATTTTCCTTCTCCACTGAAATTGTGAGTTGTTCCCTGTAAGATCCTGTGTGGGCTTCAGTAAACCAATCCCTTTCTCATACAGTCTCTGAAATCAATTGTTGTGTCTATTTTGGGAGAGACTTGCAACATGGAAAACTGAGTGATTTGGCTTTGCTGTGGTTAAATTGCCCTTCTCCCTGCTGCGAGCATCCAGAGCTCTGCCTGCTGAGAAAACCTTCTACACGGCAGCTTTTGTGATGCCAAGCTGGGTAGACCTAGTCCTTGGCTTTAGTCCTTGGCTTTGGGATTTTCAGAGGTGTTTGGAGAATTTCAGATTTTTGTTTTGTGAAATACAGGTTTTTGGAAGACTATAAAGGAATTACTTAATATGGAAAACACGATGTAACAATAATGAATTAAAAATTATATCCCTAATAATACTGTATTCTCTTTTATCTTCTTGTTCTAATTCAGACTGTGAGATGAAAGGAGTTTACCTGAAATCTGTGCGTAGTCCAGCTCTTGGCAATAGATACAAAATGGTTCATCGTGAATTCAACAACATGGCAATTTTCTCACAGGTATGAAACGAAATGACTACTGTCCTTGTGAAATTCCAATTGCATGTGACCGTATTTAGGTTCTAATCCTATTTTGAAGTGTAGTTTTGCAGCCTATTGTTGATGAATAATAAGTTCTAACAAAGACTTTTGACTTCATTTTGATTTTTAAGTTAAAGCGTGCAGACACGTATGCTTTGATGGAAGTGTACACACCCTGTTCTTCAGGTGTTCTTCTGGAGAGAGGCTGTCAACCAGTCTGAAGCGAAAGCATCCCAGTCCCTAGTCTTTTCACTGAAGAGTGGCGATCATTGTTGATCGATGTAGGACTGCATGGTGCTTCCAGGGTCGGAAGCTTATCTCCTCCTCACTGCTGTCTTCCACTGTCATAGAGGATACTGGCTGAGGAAAAGTCCTCTCACCCAGCATGTGAGGTTTCCAGGCTCTTAACCGACTTCCCTGAGTTTGGTGAAACAAGCAACCCCCAAATAGAGGTGTAACAGTTTGGGCATATTCCTGTTACCCAGTTGTATGTCAGATTGCCCTGCGCTCTTGTTGCCAGACAAGCAGCAGTGCCGAGATCAAATTTTCTCTAGCAATTACAAGGTTAGCTCCTGAAATGTAAGTTTGGAAACATTTACAAGAAAATAAAGTAACATATTTAACAGTGCTTGTTGCTCCTCAGCACTCTCTGGCAGCGTGTCTCTTGCTGTCCAGTGTCCCCCGTGTTACTGGAGCCTGACCCTTTACATGGTCCCCAGATGCCAGTTGTGCCCCTGCCGTGTGGCGTAACTACTGAGCACGAATGACTCTCCAGAGCAGATCCTTAGCCAAGCTCTTGCCGTATTGCATACAGCATTGTTATGCACTAATTCTGTGTACTCATAAAAGTGCCAGTGAAACATTTCTGGATTATTGTAACGGAGCTTCTTTCAAAATGTTAACTTCTTATCCTGCCCGCTCCTGGCTTAGTTCTGTTTTTCTGTCACACCTGGCTGTGTTCCCCCTCCATGTGAACACTACACGGTGCTCAGCAGAAACGTTTCCTCCGTGATCTGTCTTCTGGGTTTTGTTTTACTCTGGACTCTTTGTACATCACATGACATAAATCACTTATACAGTATTTTTTAGCTACTTAATTTTCCCTTGGGAAATTAAGTAGTTAAACAGAACTGGAAAAATGGATGCTCAGGATGGTTCCTTATCTCCCCCCCCATTTTTTTTTTTTTCTGTATCCTGTATTCCTGGTTTTTATATCACCTTCAGCACAAGAAAATGGAGATCTATATTTGATGAAAAGGATAAATCACTTTTTTCGTTAACACACAAAAATTCAGGTTGTGCTCATTGATTATTTGCAAGCAGATAAGAAGCGTGCATGGGACTCAATTTCCAAGCAGCCTCGGCTTATTATGTCAGTTTTGTTGTTGTTTCAGCTGAGGCAGTGTTGCTGAAAATGCAAAGCTTGAACTTCCATTTCATTTTACATATTGCAAAGGCATCATAAAGTGCTTCTGCCAGCAAGCCTTGTGCGTGTGCTGTGGAGTTCGTTATGCGCGTGGTACAAGGTGTGGAATCTGCCTTTCCTCATGCAAAACCGCAACTTGTCCCGAGTGTGCAAGCATGGCGGTTCGGAGTCCTTCCCCCTGTGCAGAGACACGCAAAGGAGATACTCCTGTCTGCATTCCAACCTGTTTGATAGTAGTATTAGTGAGCGAGTCTTGCTTCTATTGTCATACTACAATTAATATTCCCATTAAAAGCTTTCTGGTGACGAATCATGGGCCTGACCGAAATCTGAGTGTACGCTCGTTCCAGACACAGCTACGAATGTGTAGGGCCCCAGTGTTGGGCCCTCAGGGAAGTAGCTCAGGAACTGCAGAGCATATTCTGCAGGGGAGGTTTTGAGAGGTGTGAGAAGCCCCTAGGCCCTGTGGTACTTGTGCATAGGATGGATTGGATATGCAGTGCGTTTATGGAGAGGAGCAAAATCATTGCAGTGTTTCAAAACTTACTGGGTTTGGTTTCCCCCCCCTCCCCCAGATTCCTGAGCAAGACCAGACTTATGCAGAAGACAGCTTCTGTGTTGGAGAGGAGGAAGAGGAAACTTGCAAAAAAAGTGAATCTAGTGAGGAGGAAGTGTGCATTAATTTTGATCTCCTAAATAATGAGAGTTTTACTAGTGGAAGAAAACAATACCTCACTCGCCGCAGAAAAAAATTAAACCAGGCCAGGATGGAAGAGAACTACCCTGTCCCAATGCAAAAGAAGAAACCATCCCGAATTATTGTTCTCAGTGATTCCAGTGGGGAAGAAACAAGTGTCAGCAATGAGAAGCCCATGAAAACAGACTGTTTCTGGGCAGAACAGGAAAATGCTAAGTTACCCAAGTCATTGCCTTCAGTCTCTTCTGCGCAGCACAAAAAAATTGCTGGGGAAATTGGTGTTCATCAGTCTGTGGAGAGTAAGAGTGAGATGCTTCTCAGCTTGAAAGCTTCAGTATCTGAAATGCTGGATTTTCGCCCAGACCATCAAGTCAGGAGCACACACTTTCCACCAGCGCTCACTAGTTCTGATTCAGGGAAGGAGGATCTCCAGGCTCCCACTGAGGTCAGTGTTAATTCAAAACAAGGACCTTCCTCGCACCTCACGTGTGGGAGAATCCCACGTGGTGGGAATCTGCCCCATTGCACTGTTGTTTTGAGGGCTGTTAGCAATACAGCAGCAAGAGTGAGCGTGCTTCTGGTGATAAAGGAGCAGGTCCATTCTGCTTGCACTGCTTTACATCATCTCCCTTTTCTTTGGTATAGGAAGCTTTTGTACTCACAGGATAACTTGGAGAGTATCTTAGCAGTCAATAAATAAAAATTGTGGATTAGATATTGTCTTGCATCTGACAATCATGGAGGAATATGGATCTATTTCAAATAGTAGAGTGTCCACTAATTCTTTGGGTTTTGTAGTTATAAAATACTTGTTCACTGTCCTAAATTAAGACCCTTCATAGTTGGATTCCTGATCTCTTACACTTTTCTGCCTGACTTTTATCATTTACAGTATTCAGTTTTTGTTGAACTCGTTAGTGAAGGCTGCATGCTTTTGTCATTCAAACTGCTAAATAATTAGATCAACTAATTTGGGAGATTGTTAGTTTATAGGGGTTTAAAGTGTTAATCTGAACATGTTAATGTTTTGCAATATCAAAAATACCTTTTTTCCTAAGATTACTTGGATTTAAAAAAAAAAAAAACATTGAACAAAGTGTATCTGTTAAGGATCAGTATTTGAAAACTTTTTTTTTTTTTATTGGCGTGTTGTTCTTTGGCCTTATTCTTCTGTGATCTCTTAGAAATACCGTGTGATTTTCAACATTTACAGGTGGAAAGTTCTTTGAAGAATACCTGTAGGAGCACTTCAGTTCCGCCTTGTTCTGCTTCCACAAACCCCTCTTCAGCTACATTTCTGTTTTCACGTGACCCTCTGGAGGAAAAACCTTCACTCTGTATACTGGCAGACAGTCGTGAGATCTCCTCTGGAGCAGAGGTGATTTCTTCCTTGAAGGCCGTTCATGGAGTAAAGGTGCAGGTTTGCTCGCTAAGCAGCAGCGATTACATCGTGAGCAACCGCATGGCAGTGGAAAGGAAATTTCTGTCAGAATTACTGAACTCTGTGAACAGGAATAAAGTCACCCAGCGGATCCAGCGCCTGCAGAACATGTTTGAGAGAATATGTGTGATTGTGGAAAAGGACAGGATTAAAACAGGTAGGTGTTAAAACAGGCGGGGGCACCATGGGGACACACTGGTCTCTGCTCAAGGCTTGCACTGGCCACACAAGCTTTGTGTATAATATGGGATGGAAAGTAGATAGAAAACCTGTATTTTAGTCTCTGTAGGAGTATTACATTAATAAGATCACCAGCTGAACATTAAAATTTGTTTTGCTTTTGAGGGCCATTTAATATTGGCAGAGATCCACAACTGGATCTAGAGGGATACATTGCTTACTCATTACTGAGGCAGGGAAAAGCAAACATTATTAATTGACCATATTAATATGTGCAAAAAAACCCCAACTTCAAGACAGATTTCAACCAAGAAGGTAGGAATAGTTCCTTTATTGAACAGGCACAATCTTATCTATGCTCGGCACTAAAATCATAGTGGACTCAAGAAAAATAGTTTTTCTAGCAGTAACCTAACGAGTGGTATCTGTCAAACTGTATAAGAAAATTCTCACGGTTTAGAACCAGGAAGGTTGGTAGCCAGCCTGAGCACACCATCCCACATATTGTCTACCTCCAAAATATAGAGACCAAACCACATAATGGCTGCTACTTGAACAAGCAGAAGATAATCAGCTGAATGAAATCAGTTTTTAGAAAAAGACAAAAAGGGCACTCCTACAAAGAGTTACTTTGGGAAGGCTGTGTTTGAGCTATTGGCTCCTGTCACAAAGCACAGAATAGAGGAGTCTCAAAGATGCCTCCTGACTTGAATAAACATTTGTGGAAAATTCAAGACTATTTCTTCTATTTATACAGTTTGGACAAGCCATTTGTTTTAATCCTAAGATCCAAATTATGCAATCAGACGAAATTCTCAGTGCCATCTAGAAAATAATTGAGAGGTCTTGCTTGCACCTGCTTCACAGAAGATATGGAACTAGAACTCACAGCTCCAATTAAATTACAGATATTCTGGGATATAAAATTCCACTATTGAAATCAAATTGTGAGATGGTTCAGATATGGAAACAATGATAGAATTGGTCACTGAAGATGTAGCTTTTCAGTGGGGGCTGTAGATAAGTGGGTTGCGTTTGAGCTGCCTTTTTACACCGTTGCTGAAGGTGTCATTCATTTTCATCCTTTTTGTCCAGTTTTTCTCATTACGCTGTTTCCAGAGTGCTGCTGGTTTCTTGTTTGACAGTGTTCAAGTGCTCTTACTTTTGTAGCTTTACCAAACCTCTTCTGATTTGGTCTGTCCTGTTGTTCATCACTTATCATGTGTTCCTCTCAATCCTCTCTCCTAACGACATTTAATTTGCAATTTCAGTGTTAATTCCTAAACTCTACCTCTCAAATAACCAAGTAAATCCTGCCTCTATGACCCCTCCTGCCTCCTCTCCTTGAGACGTTTTCCCTCACCTTGTTTTTGGTTGTGAGTTCTCAAAGCAGGGAATCTTGGAGCTGTTTTGCTTTGCCTGATTCATATTAGATTTTTCACAGTAATTTAGCACTTAAATCTCACTGAGTTTTCTGTATTTTAACTGCAGGAGAAACGTCACGATTTTTCCAGAGGACACAGTACTACGACAGTGTCCTCTCAGCCTTGGTCCAAGCTGGGGTCCGAATTCTTTTTAGCTCTTGCCAAGAGGAAACTGCCGGTTTGCTGAAAGACCTGGTTTTGGTGGAGCAAAGAAAAAACGCTGCCATTTGCGTGCCAACGGAGGTGGAGGGTCACAAACGGGAAATGCTCAACTTCTACTTGAGTATTCCTCATCTCAGCTACCTGGCTGCTCTCAATATGTGCCATTACTTCGACTCCGTGAAGAAGATGGCCAACAGGTAACAGCAAAGATGTACAGCAAGCGCTTTGAGGCCTGGCTTTCCTTTTGCTCCTCTGTCTCATCTGGGATCTGCTGGGGTGGTTGCTCAAAGATCCTTCCTGTGCCTTTCTGTTACTGCCAGAGCTCCCTGGGAGCTTTCCTGTCCCCGCATCCGTCCTGTTCTTTATGCATTTCTCAGTCTCCTCAAGCTGAGCAGACCAGGGCAATGACATGGGCTCCGCTTCCACCATCCCTCCTTCCACCATCCTTTTCCTTTCCCCTTTTCCAGCATTCTGTTTTCTCTGCAGCTCTCTTAGGCTTTGTCTGGTGTGCGCCCAGCCTTCAGAAACCTGGGGAGAGGTGACCGCCAGCAGCTCATGGCGTTCCTGTCGCTCTCTTCTCACTGGACACTTCTTGCCCACTGGCAGTTTCCCCTTTTGTCTGTGAATCGCCCATTGGACTCCAAAGAGCTGCAGGTGAGGTGCCATTCTGCTGTGGTCTCTTACAGCTCCCCGTTGGACATCGCCACCGGCGCCCAGGTCAGCCCGCAGAAGGCCGAGGAGATCTACCGCTACCTCCACTACGGTTTTGACATGCAGATGCTGCCTGAGAACCTCTGCCCTAAGGGGAGAGGCAATAGAGCTGCCAGGAGCTAAGGGGAGTGAAACTTGGTTTCTGGCCCCCCAGCTCTTTTCTTTTAACTGCACTTTACTGAGTTTTGATTCACTGTAAAATATGTAAATAAATCCTTGCAGAAGCATCAGGGGCTTTTGGCATGCGCTACCTCCGCGTCTGCTTGTCACCTAACGCAAGGACGTGCCTCTGCCAGGTGCTCTCACCCATCTGCCTCCAACAGGGCCGGTGCTGCTGCTGTCCAGGCCGCTGGCTGGCAGCACAGGGCAAGTAAGGCAAGCAGCTCTGTGGGCAGGGCTGGTTTTTGTTTGCTGGGTACCATCATTCCAAAACTTCTTTAAAAATGAGAATAATGGCTGAAGTGTTTTGGCAAAGTAAAGCTTTCTGGCTTAGGCAGAAAGGTGGCAACAGAGGGGAAGGAGCCTACCTGCAGTTACTTGCCATCTACTGCAAGATCGGTAGCCATATTTCCTAGGAAAAAAGTGAATTGCCAAATGCTCCTTATTCTTCTTGCCCAGAACACTGAAAGGTTTACTAGGTTTGAAGTAGAGATGGATGGGCCCTGGAGAGCAAGTAAGTTCCCTTGTTCTTTAGGTGGCCTGACAGCTGCCGTCTCCTTACCTCCGCTCCTGGCCCCACCCCGTGACCATTGCTTCACCATTCCCGCCTGCTCTGGCCGCAGGCAGAGGCGACTCCCCGGGTGAAGCCTGGCTGCTGTGGGACAGGCTGCAGCTTGTTGCTGCCACACTGTGGCTACCTGGCAAAAGAACCTTTTATTTTTACTCCTTCCCATCCCTTTCTGGAGCGTGTTCACAAAAAGGCCCGTACAGAAGTGGGGGAGATTAACAGACATAAATAACCTTGCTGACACATGAGGTGTGTGGGTCTAACACAGACCAGCGCCAGGCTGGATGTCAGCCACTTGAGCCTCTTTAAAGACAAAAGAGAGGATGAAAACATACAGGCCCAGATAACTGAAACAAGACTGATGGATAGTTTGTGAAGCCTACTTCTCCCCCCCAAAGAGTCCAATTCATACATGAGTAAAATAAGATTGTGCTTTTTTATTACATTAAGGAAATGTAAAAATTCAAATTCTCAGTAAAAGAAATTAAAAAGCAATTCCAATTAGTTACAGACTGTACCATTATGAATTTATTGTACAGCCATATTTCAAAAGATATTTTATCTTAAAACACATCAAAACTTGCCCATAATTGGTATCCGAGTACATTTCTCCCTCCCCCAGGAGAAACAGGGCAACGGAAAGGAGGGCAAGAAAGTGCCATTTTGCACACATGGAAAATGACAAATGTCGGTGGATAGGTGGCAAGATGAGAATGGTGTTAAAAGACGTAAAAAGGCTGCAGGTCAAGGTTTTGAAACTGAATTCAACATCACAGGAATAGCATGTCAGAGGAGTGGCCAAACCCCTTTGCTTCATACGAGAGGAGCATAAGTGTTGAACTAATTAAATCCACGAAGTTCATTAAACAGAAGAATAGGAATCGTCCTGTTCTTCATCTGATGAATCTGCTGCCTCAGCCACAAAGAGCTTCCCTACAACAGAGGTCTGTTTCACTTCTGCAATAAGAAAAACAGGGGGGGATCATTAGTGTGTGCGCCCAAGCCTAAAAAGCAGTTACAGAAGGTCCAAAAAGCAAAGACTCTTATGAGAAACAGACTGCGGAAAAATTACTAAACGCAGAGATTGCGGACACCCAACAAGGCAGTGGCAATGTGAAAGTAAGTGAAGGAGCCTGAAGTGAAAACGGAGAAACAAAGAGTACTTACTTTTATCGAAACTGAACTTGGTTCTGCGTGAAGCTGGCGTACCAAGCACACCTCCAGCCTGATAGAACGGACAAAAAGGCTCTGCTCAAACAGCTGCTTCAGCAGCACAGGAACGTCAGAACAGCTGGGGGGGACTGGCACAGACTTGGATTTACACTGGAATTAAGTTGCCCTATCGCAACTAAAAATTTAACTAAAAATTTAAACTGTTCAACTACCACAAACGCTTTCACTAAACTAGAGAAACAAGCCATTTTTCTGCTTCTGGGTCTCAGCTCTTCATGGGAAAGCCAGAGGAATTACAAAACCTAGGATACTGAAGGAATAAATATATAAATTCAGGAACTATCTGATACAAGGTGAGAATTATTGTTTCCTTTCCCATTGTACAGAAAAATGTAACAGGAACTTAATGTACCTAAAGATCACAGAACTCAAAAGCAGTTACAAATCCTGAAAAAAAGCAACATATTTAATCCTGACAATAAATAGCTCTTTTCTAACAAACAGAACTTTTCCCCAAGAGAAGTAGATACAAAACCCAGAAGTTTGGGAGGAAGTAGGGGAGGGATCCTGTTTTCCATCTTGAATATACACAACTAGTCTGTGATCCCAGGATTCTGCTGCTTAGCAAAGCTTTGCATCGTTAAGGTGGAACTAGGCAACATTCAAGGAAACCAGCATTACCGACTTCTTCTTGACATTGTCCCAGGTGCCTCTGCTGCCCCGCGTGTTCTTCTGCATTCTGAACACGTGCCTGTCGTAATCCTTCCTGTGGATGTAATCAAGCACGTTAGTGTGCCGCCTACAGAATCCGCTGGATACAGTTAAAGGCATTATGCATACAGCTCTAATTCAGAAAAAAAATTAGCATGGCCATTAAAAACAGTTGTTGGTCAATTAAATATAACAGCAGCTCTGGGAGTATAACGCAGAAGTGCTTAATTAGATCACGTGCTAGAACTCCTAACACAAGTATCAGACAAAGCTTTATCATCTCCCCAGATGATGTTAATTTCTTGTCCATTAGATAAAATGCCAGTTACTCTGCAAGTTTCAAGATTATTCCAGTTTCAGTAAAGCCTGAAGCAATTGGTTTAACAGGTTTAAGACTCAAAACGAGGAGAGAAACCTCTGCTGAGGCTGAAGCCCAAATCACTACCTTCTCCAAGAATAAAAGGCCATGCGATTGGCATTGTTTGCGTTGCCCACACTTAGTTGAGTGGCTCAAACTGCATGCACTGTCAAAGGAAGGAGCTTTCTCTAAACAAATCCCTCAAGGACTGCAGGATTTACTATTGCTTGCTCTAAGTCTGGAAGTGAACTGGTATCCCGGTTCCAAGAGTGATCTTTCTCAGAAGACAAAAAAAAAAATCTTGGGGAAAATGAGAAAGGAAAAGGTTAGCAGAGGGACAGTGGTACGAGTTCCTACCTGTTGATGGGTACCAGCATACCAGGGCTGATATGCTCACACTGAGGGGTTTTCACCATAGGGAAGACAGCTGAGGAAGGCGTGATCGGGTTGTCCGTAAGTGCAAAGTCGTCATCGTCATCATCATCCTGGCTTGCCCGGAACGTTGGCAACTACAAAGCCACATGGGAGCAATCATCAGTGACCTGCCCTTTCTAACAGAAGTCTGATGAAAAGGCTTCTCACGGGTCTGTCTCAGGGTGGCAACAGGACACAGCCTCTTCACGACTCTGTGAACCTTGGCTGTGTCCCTCTTCCCCAAAGGGAGGAGTCCCAGACTTCCTATTCTCTCCTCAATAGGCAGCTGCTCCATTCCCTGGCTCACTTCAGTTGCGTTTCCACTATGTCCCTCTTGAGACACAGAAGCCAGCAAAGTGCACAGTACACAGAACGCAGGTACACAAGGACTCGACATGCAGGCAGCCAAATGATGCCTCCATCTTGCTCTTAATACTCCTCCTGTTGACACCCAACATTTTGCTGGCCTTTTTTGGCCGCTACTACACATTCAAAAAATAATTTCAGATTAAAATTACAAGCTCAGGAGGAGGATTTCAGGATTACTCAGTGAACTTCTGGTCCTTCCATTTGAAAAGAGGAGAACTGGAAAGGTTCAGAGAAGAACACCACAGATGATCAAAAGCACAGCAGGTCCTGGGCAGGAAGAGCTATAACTGGCATCAGGAGTGAACAGGTACCAGGACAGCTGTTCACCGTCTCTTCCCCATGAGAAGAGGAGGACAAAGTCAGCAGGTGCAGGTTCAGAACAAATAAAAGATTACGCTTCTTCAGCAAATAATTCAGCTCTGAAACTTAGCACAAGAAACTGCAGCTGTGGAGAGTCCGCATAGTTTCAAGGAGGGGCTGGAATAGCTTATGGCAGGGGAATCTGCTCATGACTCCTAAATATACAGAATGTCTCCCTGGAGATATACCTCTCACCATACACTACAGAAGGAGCTTAGTTTCTTTTGCACAGCTCAAGCTAGGCAAAATGAATTTGAAAAAAAAAAAAGAAAAAAAAAAGAAAAGAACCCTTTTGAATCACTGGCTGAAATTGTATTCTATGAAAAGAGGAGTCTCCTGGAGAACCCCTCTGCAAACACAGGGTGTCTTGGACATGGATGCATCGATTCTTTCATAGCCAATCCGCTCAGTCCTGGGGATTTCTCCATAGCACACTGCAGTTTATAGAAAGCAATGAAGGTACCACTGCTTAAATGTTGACTTTCCAATGAGCCATGGCATTACTCGACTTCTGGATGCGTGCCAGAATAAGAAATGCACTGTTGCTACACAGAAAACCCACAAAAGAACAAATGTACCAAGAGACATACAGGTGCCGACTGGAACTGAGGCACTAGTGTTAATAGGCAGAAAGATGCGTCATGAAATATACTTCAAAAATTCTCTACAGGGAAAAAAACCTAAATTCTTCTCTTGATAAATGAGTGGCTTTTTCTTTGAAAATGAAAACAGCGTCTTAACTAACATCTAGAGTGCACAATCGCGCTTCACCATAGCCAAGTGGAGGTTTATTGCGGAGATAGGTAACGCTCTCCAGCTCTGGTGCTGCATCTGCTGGTGTGCTTGGGGGCTGCACGTGGAGCAGGAGGGGAGGGCACCCCTCCTGCTGTGGTTAGTGCAGGTGAGCCTCACCAGGGAAACGGGACAGCTCTTAGGCCAAACAGGCAAGGGCCAGGGCGAGAGGGTAACAGAACTCCCAAAGAGAAACCCACCCAGACAATATCAAGAGGT